GGGCGGCAGCATCCCGGGCGGACGCCGCGGAGGAGCGAGGCAAGGGCAGGCAGCCCCCGACCCCCGAGGGGACTCCCGCCCACCTGGCCGCGGCGCGGCTCCGCGGGCAGCCTAGATCTCGCCGCCGCTTCGCCGCCTCCGCCCGCTTTCGCGGGGAAGCAGTGCGCGAAACTAATAATTTTCTTAAATTATTGGGGGGGCAGAGCCCCCCCAAACGAATTTTTGAGGGGGCTCGAGCCCCCTCAGGCCCCATGGAGTCGGCGCCTATGGCGGTGCTCATCTTGCTTTATTGGCCGAGGGAGCTGGCGTTTGTCCGCAGACAGCTTCCGGGTCATGTGGCCAGCATGACTAAACCGCTTCTGGCAAACCAGAGCAGCACACGGAAACGCCGTTTACCTTCCTGCCGGAGCGGTACCTATTTATCTACTTGCACTCTGATGTGCTTTCAAACTGTGAGGTTGGCAGGAGCTGGGACTGAGCAACGGGAGCTCACCCCATCACGGGGATTCAAACCACCGACCTTCTGATCGCCAAGTCCTAGGCTCTGTGGTTTAACCCACAGCGCCACCCGCGTCCCAACGTCCTACTTACCTTATCCCCTCTTCACCTTTGCTGTTATTGATCTGTACGGAAACCAAAAGGTACAAGAGTCAAGGCAGTTATTTTGTTCGGTTGTTCTCACTCCGTTCTTGTTACGTGAGGGAGGACCCTGTTGCAACAGTTTTTATTTTTCCTGTTCTTTCAATAAAGATCAGACTTTGCTTTTCACAAATCCTGGTGTGGTCTCTGTCATTTCCCGACTGGTACGGAGCCTCTACAACGGCGCACCTTCCGAGGTCCCGGTCCTCCTTACAAAGCAAGGACCCCCTTGGGGAAGCAATTATTTATTTATTTCATTTTCTGCTGGAGGGGCACCCCCCCAACCTATACATAAATTCCTGCAACAGTGGGAAGTTTTAAAAGTCAATATCGCCCCATGCTCGGGGTTCTTACTGCTGCTTGAACCTGTTGCTCAACAAATAAAGGATCTAAGTCTACTGATTGCTGTTTTGCTCCAAATTACTTGGCTGAAACTTCCTTCTTTTACTGACTGCATGGACCCACGGGGGGGCTTGGACCCCGACAAGCTGGCCTGTTGAGTAGTCTCTCACCCCAGCAGTGGCGTAGCGTGGGGATGCAGGGGGGGGCCCGGCCGCACCAGGTGCAACATCTGGGGGGGGGCACGCTCGCCGCCTCCGGAGTCGCCGAAGAGCCTCGGGCGCAGGCTGTAGCAGAGCCCCATGTCTCGCGGAACCGACGAGCTGGCAGCGGCTCTCAGCGCTCGCCGTGGTCCCTGCGCGTCAGGGCCGCGGAGGGCGCGCCAGGCAGCCCCTCCTCACAGCCCCGCCGCCGCCGCTGCTGCAGCTGCTGGGCCATGTTGCATTTTCCTCGCCTCTCTGCCCTCCTCCTCCTCCGGACAAGCGGCGTTGTTTGGGCGGCAGCGCCGGCGGCAACTCGCCTCAGATCACCTGACACGGACCCGCCGCCGCCGCCGTGGCTACCTTACAGTAAATACCCCAGCCCAGGCAGCAGCAAGAAGCTGGCAGCGGTGGCAGGTTAGGGGTTAGGGGGCGCAAATTACTTGCCTTGCCCCGGGTGCTGACAACCCATGCTACGCCGCTGCACCCCAGAATTTTTCCTTATCAAAAACAACAAGTGAATGGGTGGTAGGTTAAAAAAAAAAAAGAGTATAAATCCCAAGAACCAAAAAGACATGAAGAGCTCAGGCCCAGAGGGAGAGTCCAAGAGGTCCAGCATTATTAAGATTTTACAAGTATTTCCAAAAAATACCATAAATCAACCGGCAGAATGGCTCTCAGGTGTTGCTTATTTATTTGTATAACAAATGTCCACCAGGTGGCGGCAAAGTCCATCAGTGAGGCATCACCTCTAAGTATCTTAAGAGGATGTGTGAGTTTTCCGACGCTTCTTTTTTATTTTTTGGTACCATTTATTTAATGTGAGGACTGTGCCGTTTTTCCATCCCTGAGTAGTGACCAGTCTAGCAGCAGCCAGGAGAAAACCAATAGGGGTTTACAAAGGGAAGGGGATCAATGTAACTCCCTGTGAAAATGGAGAGGAGGCAGAGTTTAGGGTCTAAATCCAATGATGACCCAAGATGATCCTAATTTCTGTCAAAACCTGCCAGCAGAAAGCATTAATGTGGGTGAAAGAGCACCATAGGGTGGCAGGAGGTGCCAACATCCCTAAAGGCCTTTTGTTTTTGTGCCAGGTGCATAGCATTTATTGAATGGATTTATATCCCACCTTTCCAGTGGCGTAGCGTGGGTTGTCAGCACCCGGGGCAAGGCAAGTAATTTGCGCCCCCTAACCCGTGGATTTGCCCTAACCCCCAGATGTTGCGCCCGGTGCGGCCGGCCCCCCCTGCACCCCCCACGCTACGCCACTGCACCTTTCTCCCAAGTTGTGATTTGAGGTGGCTTCTAAAATTTAAAAACAACATTATAAAATGCAAAGTAATTAAAAGCAAAACTGGTTAAAAACAGTAGTTAAAATACACCAGAAAATGTTTAGAACCAGCAATTAAAAATCCATTTTGCCCTGTGGCCAGCATCGCCTGCACTTAGTTTCCAAGGGCCTGTCTGAACAGGAAGATCTTAGCCTGCCGGCGAAAAGAAAAGAGAGAGGGAGCCAGTCTGACCTCTGTCAGGCAGGAATTCCACAATATGGAATTTTAAAACCATCCAGAATTTGAAAGTATAGTGGTGGAGGCTGTGAGGGCACTTTAGGAGTGTTCCATCTCATGAAAAAGCTTTAAGGTGCCTTGCCTGGAATGATTCACGCCACAGGCTTAGGAACGACTGAATGCGCCCCTTCACCTGGGTCCAGACTGTGTGTCACTCACTGCTTGGCTAGTCTACTGCCACACCTCATTCTTTAAATAGCCTCCTACGGCAGCAGTCTTAATCTCGCGAGGTTTTTGTACTTAAATATGATAAAGATCCAGGAATGTGTTTTCATTCTTTCTTGCTGTTGGGTGGGGGTTGAAAAACAAGCAAACAGAGAAAACGTAAGGAACTTGGTTAGTCTGCAAAAAAAGGTAAAGGTAAAGGGCTCCTGACAATTAAATCCAGTCAGAAATGACTCTGGGGTTGCGGTGCTCATCTAGCTTTAAAGGCATTTGTCTGCAGATCGTAAATTAATGGGTTGCAGTTTTGCTCAGAGTAAACCCACTGAAGTTAAAGGAGATGATTAAGCCGAGTCTATTAATTTCAAGAGGGTTTACTCTGCTCAGAACTTAGCTGAAGACAACCATTTTAAAAATCAGTCAGTTTATGTTTGTCGTGTCCATTCATTTCCACGGATCTTACTCTGAGTATCAGTAACACCAGATTCAGCCCACTGGATGGTTGTGAAAAGTATAGTTCAATAAGGCGCATAAAGAACTTTGAACACCTGGAAATGCTAAATATTGTTAAATAAATTTTTAACTTCCCAATGACTCAAAAAAAACAAAAACAAACAAACACAAAAACCCCACATAACCATTCCAACCTTTGATTTTAGACCCCTAATACCTTATATGTGCTTATATGAGCCTCTTTTCCCGGCTCAACACCCCCAGCTCCTTCTTGCTGCTGCTACTGCTGCACCATCATCATCATCACACAATTGACTGATGTTAAGCTTGTGGTCTGCTATGATGCCGAGGTCCTTTTCACTGCTGTCAAGCCATACAGTTAGTTCCCTACCGTTACCTATGTGGAATGTGGCCAACTGCCGTCCAAACACATGTTCTTAAGTGGAACAACAGTTGGCTCTCCTTACTTCCTAGAAACATCTCGCAACAACACAGATGCATTGGGAGCAGGACTTATTATTGTTTCCAAAGGAATTCCTGCTCCGAGATTCTGCCAGGACGGTTTTGACATCAACAGGGGTTGTTGGCAGTCATGTAACCAGAGCAAACAAATAACAATCTGGATGGTTTCACACCTGCAAAACTGCAGTGGCGTGGATTGCTGTTCCACAAGACTTTCTCTTTTGTGGTGTAATAATAATTATTATTATTTTAAACACCTTTTAAAAAAGTTTTAAAAAGTGCATACTCAAATACCCATCCAATGACATTTATTATTATTATTATTATTTACACTATTCTTCATTTCCACTCAAATAAGACATGGAAGACATCAAAAGAAACAAAAAGACTCAAAACATTTCAATGGCTACTAGCCACAATGGTTCTTCTCTGCTTCCACAGCTGGAGGAAGCAATGCTTCAGAATACCAGTTGCTGGAAACTATATAAATGTGATTGAAATTGCCTTTGGAACTCCCTGCCCTTACATATCCGAAAGGTGCTGTCTCTATGGGCTCCCTCCGGAGCTTGTGGACTCTCCTCCCTTGGAGGTTTTAAGCAGAGGCTGGATGGCCATCTGTCACGGATGCTGCATTGCAAGGGGGTTGGACTAGATGACCCTTAAACTCTACCATCCTGTGATTCCATTGTCTTTTGACTCCTACAGAAGACTTTCCTTTTTCAACAAGCCTTTTAAGGGGACTTTTGTGAAATTTCACTCTGCATCTGAATGGGGTTGTGTGTGTGTGTGTATGAGAAATGGTTTTGTTTCGTTATGTGAAATCATTTATATGTGAAATTATATATATATATATATATATACACACACACACACACACACACACACACCGTATACATGAAATGGCTTAATATTTATTAATATGTTAATATTGTTAATACCGTTAATCATTAATATATATTAGAGCGAGAAAGAGAAAATATATGTTAATATCGTTTTGATCGTTGTCCTTTTTTTATCGCTGGCACACTTCGTGGTGTTTCATTAGAATCACAAGGCACGGGCGTTGGCTACCCCTGTTGGATTTCTGCCTGCCGCGCAAAAAGGCGCCGAGTGGGGAAGGGGAGTGGCCCCTTCAAGCGGTCCAGCCTAAGGAAAAGGGGAAAGCCTCGCCGAGGTTGCGTTTCTGTGTGTCTGCGCGAGGGCAGGAGCTGCTCAGCCCGCCAGCTAGCTGCCTGCCTGCCTGCCTGCCTTCCTGCCGTCTCCTCTGGGCGTGCTCAGCCGGCGCCGCCGGATGGGAGGGAGAGAAGAAGGCTGAGCGGAGCTCCGGAGAGCAGCTCTCATCCGGCTGGGCGATGGCCGCAGCCCCGATCCTGGGTCTCCTGCTTCTGTCTCGGCTCTACTCCCGAGGAGACACCGCGGGGCTCGGCCGGGCGGGGGCTGAGAGCCAGCAGGAGGCGGAGGTGAGGCTCCCAAGAGCAGGGAAGGGAGGGGTTAATAATGCCCAGCTTTCTTCCAAGAAAGAGGTGCTCATGAACTCTTCTGGCTAACTGGATGCAAATAAGTTTCTGTTTGCGTGTCAAAACCCCTCCCCCCAGAAAGAAAGACACAGGACACAGCGTTTAAGATTTAATGGGCATGAAATGGCCACAACTTTATTGATTAAAGAATTGAAGGTATTGGCCCTAGGCATTGGCTCCTATCTGCTACCCGGCATGTAGTCCGGGAAGGGTTAACACAAAACCGTGGGGAACCCCTGTTGGAGTACGCCAACTAGGGCCCCCGCGGGTGTCACCGCTTGGGGCGTGCCGGGGGCCCTTACCTAGCCAGGTTTCGGACAAGACAACGCCCCTCGGAGTCCTGTACCGGACTACCCCATTTCCTGGGGAAGGTGATGGCGTTCCTTCCCCCCCATCCATTTGACTAACCATAGAACCCCAGCCAATGCCTAACCGCCAATACAAGGAAAGTTGTGACGTTTGCTACGAGGTAGGCGAAAAAACCAACTGGCCAAAGATTGCCAACTTGGAAAAATTCCTACCAGGCCCCTTGCGGCGACCAACCGAAGTCCATAGCAAGGTCATGACGACCTACGACTGCCTACGCCTCTAAGGGAGGGTGGGATGGGAAAACCTCTCGGCTGATCAGGGGAGAAGAGGGTGGACCCTGGGCGTGCCCGGCTTAAATACCTTAAGCCCCCGCCTCCCCCCGGCCCGCCGATAGGCGGCCAGGGTCGCGAGCACGCCCAGGGATTCCCTCACCTCTCGCGGGGGCTACATCAGCCCCCCGCGCCGCCAGGGGGAGGGGCTAGACCGCAACCCCCTCTCCTGCCCAGAGTCAGAAAGGGCTTTGCGTGTCAAAACCCCTCCCCCCAGAAAGAAAGACACAGGACACAGCGTTTAAGATTTAATGGGCATGAAATGGCCACAACTTTATTGATTAAAGAATTGAAGGTATTGGCCCTAGGCATTGGCTCCTATCTGCTACCCGGCATGTAGTCCGGGAAGGGTTAACACAAAACCGTGGGGAACCCCTGTTGGAGTACGCCAACTAGGGCCCCCGCGGGTGTCACCGCTTGGGGCGTGCCGGGGGCCCTTACCTAGCCAGGTTTCGGACAAGACAACGCCCCTCGGAGTCCTGTACCGGACTACCCCATTTCCTGGGGAAGGTGATGGCGTTCCTTCCCCCCCATCCATTTGACTAACCATAGAACCCCAGCCAATGCCTAACCGCCACTCGAGCAAAGCTCGCCGCCAATACCTTCAACCCTGCAACCAACGCCTATGCTCAGCTATGGAAACCCCTGAACCCAGGACCTAATCCCTGCAATGATATCACCCAACCAAACATCGTTCCCTGCATCGGACAGATGCACGCCATCCCTCCTGTAGAGGGCCTCATTGCTGAACTGGATGCTCGGGTGTCTGATGACAAACCCGCCCAGATCCGCCACTCTACGTTCCACCGCTCGCTCTAAAACCTTTCTCGCCTTGTTGACTCCGACTGGGCTCCCGCAATCTCTCCATGTCCTCCTCTCCAGCAATGAGGACCAAATTATTGTAACATGTGGGTATGCAATGACCAACTCGGTCAGATCGTCAAAAATGTGCCACCTCAGATCAATCGCCTTGCGATATGCGAGATCATTTTCACCCAATTGAATCACAAGGGCGTCTGGCGGCCCCTCAGCCGCAGCCCTGGCCATCACCACCGGTTTGAATTCGCTCCAGCGCATCCCTCTACGCGCTATCCAAACCAGCTCCACCCTGGGATGTAAACTCAGGTTGCTGCCCAGTCCAGTTCTCAAGGCATGAAACTTGGCCCAGTGCACGATGCTGTGGCCCACCAACCAAATGCGCAGTCTCGAGGGCTCTGAAAGGCAAATAGAAAGGAGGGTGGAGGTCAGGGGTGCCACACGCAGTCACAAGTTGTTCCTCACGTACGTTTTGTACGCGTTAGATTTCCACCTCCCCATTTCCTTGATTCTCTCCGTGGGGAGCCCCATAAGTACTGCAGCGGTGGCTGCACCAATACGGAAGGAGTGTGCAGCAAATTCAGACGCCGGAAAACCACCCGCCGACAGCGCCGACCGCATAACCCTGGTGAATTGGTGCCTAGTAAGGCGAGATCCGTCCGCATGTATCAGAAGCGGACCAGGGCCGACAGGCCTTAGGTAAAGAAAACGCCGCGTGTCCCGAACCGGACAAGGGCCCCTTCCATAAACCGACTGGAGCCGAAGCAGGGCCCCCTTGCTTTGCTGATCTGTCTTGGAGTTTCGGACCCGCACCACGAGATCGGCACTAGAGAGGGTCAGGTCGCTCAACAAAATTCCCCTCTGAGGCTGGGTGGCTTCCCCTTCGCACACTACCTCGCCTACGCGTAGGGCGCCAAAGAAAGCAATGGAAAACGCTGCGGAGAATAAACGCGCTTCGTATTTTGACCAGCAAATTTGACGAAGGGCCTTGTGGATCTTACAAAGTATTTCATAAGTTACGGGTCGCCTACTGTCCGTGCCAGGGGGTTGCTGCCTGCGCCATCCCTGCAAGGCTTTGCGCACAATGAAGGCTGCGCAAGGGTCCTTTTCAAAGAGTGTTTTACAGAAGAAGGAGATCCCCGCCGAGTGAATGTTGAGTGTCTTAGGGGCCCGGCCTAACTCCCTCAAGTGTGCGAGGTAGCGGAGCACCTCCCTGGTAGAGGGAGTGGAGTGGTTACTTGGGCCAGGGGTGCGCGCCCTAAATTTTAAAAATTCCACCCACGCCTTCTTATAGGACCTCATCGTGGACGGGGCCACTGCACCGAATACTCCCTTCATTATATCTCGCTCCCAATCCTCCAGAGATGCTCCGGGAAAGGCATCGATGATTGGTCCGCTTCTGGCGCTAACGAGCGGAAGCGCCCCATCTGGAAACGAGATAGAGCATCCGCGATATCATTATTAATGCCAGGCACGAATTTGGCCGAGAAATAAATGTTATGTTCCAGACACAGCAGGACAAAGGCCCGCAGAAGGTTACCCACCCTGGTGGACCGCGCAGACTGCCTTGAGAGAACCGCTACAACTGCTTGATTGTCAGTGTTAAAACAAACCCTGTGATTCTGAAATTGATCCGCCCACAGATGTACAGCCACAACAATCGGGAAGAACTCCAGGAAGGTAAGGTCCCTGGTAATGGGTTGATTTTGCCAATCTGTGGGCCACCGTTTTGCACACCACTGGCCGCGGAAGTAAACCCCAAAACCCAAGGACCCGGCTGCGTCAGATTGAACTTGGAAGTCGGCATTAAGAAGCAGGGTATCCTGCCATAATGATATCCCGTTGTACTTTTCCAGGAATTGCAACCAAACCCCTAGGTCAGCCTTCACCTGTTTGGATAGCCGCACCCTGTGTTGGGGTGCCTTGAGGCCCGCCGCCAGTCGCGCCAGACGCCCGCAAAATGGCCGCCCTGGGGCAACCACCCTGCAGGCGAAATTTAAATGGCCCAGCAGGGATTGGATCTGTCTCAATGTTATTTTCTTTAGGGGCAAGAGCTGCTGTATGGTTGTTCGGAGCGCCACCAATTTTTCAACGGGTAAGCGAGAAGTTTGGGCTATGGTGTCCAATTCGATGCCCAAGTAGACTAGGGATGTGGCCGGACCCTCTGTCTTCTCGGCGGCTAGGGGTACCCCTAGTTCGCCGGCTAGGGATGTAAAAGCCTCTAGCAGAGATGAGCTATTGCTGTCTGGAAGGTAGGGCTGGAAGAGACCCCCAGCCTAAAATCCCAGAGAGCCTCTGCCAGTCAATGTAGGCAGTACTGAGCTAGATGAATTACCGGTAACGATCTGACTCGGTCTCCTATGTTCCTAGAATTCAAAGGGATGTGTGTCTGTTCTTAATTACCTGCCCTTCTCCCTAATGTTCCAGGGCAACAAATTAAAACACATTAAAAAGAACCAGTTTACAATTGCAGAAATAAGCAGGGCTCTAAAAATATACCCCTTAAGTATCAAAAGACAGGGTAAAAAAACGTGTATTCAGCATTCTCCAGAAGCTGGAGCATCTCTCCTGTGGGAGTGAGCTCCATAGTTTCTCAACTGTGTGAAGAAGTCCTTCCTTTTATCTGTTCCGAAACTTCCAACTTCATTGCATGCCCATGAGTTATGGTGTTATGAGAGGGAGGAAGTTTTTTCTCTGTCCACTTTCTCGGTGCCCATATATCATTTTATAAACTTCTTTTGTGCCATCTCTTACTCATCTATTCTCTGGACTAAGAAATCCCAAACCATACAACCTTCCACCCTCCTTCATCTACAACATCCTTTTTGAGGTGAGACGACCAGTGTCCAAATGCAGTCTCACCATAGATTTGTATAACGGTATTATGATACATAATGGGACGCGGGTGGCGCTGTGGGTAAAAGCCTCAGCGCCTAGGACTTGCCGATCGCATGGTTGGCGGTTCGAATCCCTGCGGCGGGGTGCGCTCCCGTCGTTCGGTCCCAGCGCCTGCCAACCTAGCACTTCGAAAGCACCCCTGGGTGCAAGTAGATAAATAGGGACCGCTTACCAGCGGGAAGGTAAACGGCGTTTCCATGTGCGGCTCTAGCTCGCCAGATGCAGCTTCGTCACGCTGGCCACGTGACCCGGAAGTGTCTGAGGACAGCGCTGGCTCCCGGCCTCTAGAGTGAGATGAGCGCACAACCCTAGAGTCTGTCAAGACTGGCCCGTACGGGCAGGGGTACCTTTACCTTTATTATGATACATTGGTACCTTGGGTTAAGAACTTAATTCGTTCTGGAGGTCCGTTCTTAACCTGAAACTGTTCTTAACCTGAGATACCATTTTAGCTAATGGGGCCTCCCGCTGCCGCCGCACGATTTCTGTTCTCATCCTGAAGCAAAGTTCTTAACCCGAGGTACTATTTCTGGGTTAGCGGAGTCTGTAACCTGAAGTGTCTGTAACCTGAAGCGTCTGTAACCCGAGGTA